TGAGTGAGTGAGTGAGTGAGTGAGTGAGTGAGTGAGTGAGTGAGTGAATTGTGTTGTGTGTGTGTGAATGTGAGATGTGAGGGAGTGGAGTGAGTGAGTGAGTGAATTGTGTTGTGTGTGTGAATGGGACAACGCGCGCGGCGAGAACGCGCGATTGTGATTTGTATTTGTGATTTGTATTTGTGTGTGTGTGTGTGTGAGATGTGAGAGGAGGCGATTTGTGATGAATTGTGATTTGTGTGTGTGTGAGATGTGAGAGGAGGCGAGGAGGATGAATTGTGATTTGTGTGTGTGAGATGTGAGAGGAGGTTGTGATTTGTGTGTGTGAGATGTGAGAGGAGGCGAGGAGGAGGACGAGGAGGACGAGGAGAAGGGCGGGATGGCAGCCAAAAAAACAGAACCCCACACAGAGATGTGGGGAATGAAACGATGCATTGCCACTCTCCAACATCCTGACATCTGTACTGGTGGCAATATTAAATCAATTGGCACATCAGCGTGAAAGACACGTTGGCCGCCGAGCAGTGTTCTAAATGCAACTTTGCTCTTGGTCGTGCTTCCACACTTCAGAAGCGCTGCTTCACATACAGGGCATCCAGGCGTAGAGGCACCCAGAGCTTCAGCAAACAACCAAACAACATATCTTGGCTCCAAACCAAGCCATGCAGAAAGCAACACATTCTCATTCCAGCTCGACATGGGCCGTTCACGGGGCGTCTTTTTTTGACCCATTCATATTTATTTCGGCATTGGGCTGAAGGCTTGGACATACGGTGGCATATGTGATGGACTGCCCCGCATAAAGGTGTATAGATTGGTCCTGCTAGCGTTGCAGGTCACGCTCGCGTCAACCAAGGGCTGCGGCACAAAAGAATCGCCAGGGAACAGGATTAAAGGGGACAAGACTGGCAAGTTGCTTTTGATTCGAAGTTAGTTGTCGTCAGGTTTCGCGCAACTGTTTGCTTGAGGGATGTGTCTTCCCGGCGCAACTGCAAGCCAGGTCCCTTGCGCACCCTTAAAAAAAATGCTCTCCACGTGTGTTGTTACACAAGTGTCGTGGTCCTTTTCAAAAAACGTGAAATATGTTGCTTGTTCTTTTTTCTGCTTAGTTTCATTCAAGTGTTCGTGGTAGGTAAAAATGTAATGACTGAAAAATAGTTGTCTCATTGTAAAACAGAACGGGACAACTACTATATATTCACACCAAAAATGGCAGGCAGCCGAAAGGACTGAGAAGAGGAGCCAAAAGCTTGAGGCGATGACCGTTGCCAGCACTTTGGCTAGAAGCAGCGAACCCAGCACAAAGAGGATCCAAAGTAAGACCTCCGATGCATAGAGCTGCCTCAGGAGCCAAATGGATGCCAAAATGCTCATCAAAATCAATTGAAAGCATAAGGAAAACAATAGGAAAGCAAAAGAAAGACTGGTTAAGAAACATAAATTGAAGTAATTGAAGGCAAGAAGGAAGAATCTGCAAGTATTACGTCAGAGAGAAGGAGATGCAAAGAAGAACAGGAGAGATCTATTGTGTACAGTATAAGCTGCAGCTAAGCAAATCTCATGAGCGCAACGACCAAGAAACAGTCAGAAACAAGACTGAGTTTCGATCTTCCATGCTCTCCACGTAAGGAGGTCAAAAATGACAATGAATCCAAAAGTAGAGGCGATCTTAGTCACGTCAATGCATGAGAGAAGCGGGACTGGCGTTTCGAGGAAAGTCACTTGAGGGCCTGACCACTAGGAGTATTGCAAACACTCCTGCCAAACCATACCTGGAGTTGTCACAGGTCACCGAAGGCCTTCAAAATCTATGTGAAAGGCTCGTCTTCCGAGGGCATCGCCACCCGTAGTCCATCTTTTGAGTGTTGATCTCGCCTTATCTACAAAGCAACAAACAAGCTTTACCGTGTCAATATATGTCAATGCTCTTCAGTGCCATTGATCTGAGGCCTCCTTCTCCTTACACAGAGAGCACCTCCACACTAGTTTTAGATGCTCCACCATGGCAAAAGCTGCTTCCACGTTTTGCAACAGAAGAAGCGTGCCTTCGAAGCATCCCCCGTTCTTGCGTCTCTGCCATGGCGCAATGGGAGAACTGTGGGTATGAATATATGAAACCCAAGTACAGTAGTGTTAATCATTCTACCACATGGCTTTGCAAAGCTGGTCGAACAACAACTCAAAGCAGTAGGGAACCATTTGGTACGCACTTGTCCAGGTGAGGTCATTCGTTGCACAGTCTGAGTCTCAAAAAAGGGAAAACACTCTTGTTTGGGGATGGTGTGAGAGTGAGAGTGAGTGGTTGTTAGTGGTTAGTGATTATTCTGGATGACATACTACATGTACACTTGTCCATAAAAACCTGTGCAAAGGAACCTAATTTGTGACAACTTTCAGGCATGACCTTGTTGCGTTGCTCATTGGAAAGAATTTGGGCGTGAGCGCAAGCAACAAAAGCGGCAACCATCACTCTGAAATAATATTGACCCACACATTATCTTTTCGCACTTAGCAAGCAAGATGTATAAATAGCCAAGACGAAACGATGCTCGGCAACACAAATAGCTCTTTTGGGGCTGAGTTGGACCATTATCATGCACAAACTCTCATCGCCTCATCACGGCTTAAATAGTTCAAAGAAAAACGGTGCCCTCAGACTCCAAAGATCTGTTCCACGGCATCTAGGCCTCTCGGGCGCAATCGCTGCACTCTGAAGCAGTGGCATTAAAGGCACCATGCCTGTCTCATTCTCTGCCACGATGATGCCCATCGCTGCAAACATGGCAAAGCGGCCATTGTTCACTTCTCGATTTCGCCACTCGTCGTCGTACCTCGAACCATCAAACCATCCAAAACAAATCCATCTAACCTGTCTACGTACCCACCATAAACTGTTAGTAATATCAACTGCTACGAGATTCTCCTTTCGGGAGTTCTCTCCTCGGCCCGCTTCTGGTCTCAGCTGTTTTTGTCTTGAGTGCGGCAAAAGAAAGGTCACTTGCCAACCTTCTCCGCAATTCCCAGTGGGTCGCCAAAGTCACCGGGCTGCGAATTGCATAACAAAATTGCATAAAGTCTTGCAATAAACTCTCACAACAATGTCCCTCCTCCTTCTTGTCATCCTGCTTCCAAACCTCGGACTCCAAGTATCCTCATACACAAAGAGTTTTCTATTGAGGTGACAAAGGTCTTTCTTTGCTTTGCTCGTGTTTGTCCTTCTTCCTTCATAGGTACATATATATATATATATATATGTGTGTATTCATCATTTTTAATATATATGGTGTATGCGTTGTGCGACAATATCGAGCGGCGGCGAAGTTGAATGCTCCTGATAAGCCCACAAGGACGAGGAAGCCAAGACCGCCCAGGCCATCTGTTGGGGCTTCAATTCCACGTGGAACATTGCCAAACCTGCCAACTGTGGTGTTGCACAGTCAATCGTGAAACTCAAACTTATCATAAAAGGGACGTCCCGGCCCCCAAATCTGCGCGTTCTGTCAATTGCTGAAGGACTGCACGTGACGTGCACTTCTTGCGCAGGCATGCTGCTCCAGCTGATTTGAGTTCTGTTTTGAGACATCGCGGACACTCAGGCGCAATGATCAATGAATTTACAAAGCATGTGGTTTGGACCCGCCGTGCAGCATGAAAACTTTACAGGGGTCAGCTTCATTGGAAAAACTAGCTAGAGCCATATTTACACGCCTATCAATGATGAAATACAGGTTGCTCACTTGAACGTTCGCACGCTCGCTCTTGCTTTTCTAAGCATGAGTGGGCAAACATCAATGAAAGCAACGACGATAGCAGCTTACACTCTGGCCTCAAGCATGCGTGCTTGCACCGAAAGGTATGCGCAGTGCTGCAGTGCTTCTTTGAGTAGACTTTTGGCAAAACTATATGTGTCTTGTACATACACTTTTCCAGGTACACTCAAATCAATGTGTGTTCATAAACAAACGCAACAAATACATGCATATATACATGTACGACTACCATCCTTTGACACACGTGTGTAAGCTACTCATGTCACGATACATCATGCAGACCCATCATGGATGTACCAAACCAGTTGCTTACAGCAATCACTGCAATCACACATCTCTTTCAAACGCAATATCTTGAATTCTTGGCTTAAGCCCGTAGAAGCCCGTCGTCTTTGTAGTTTGGAGGAAAAAGCAACAAAGTTCAGGCAGACCCTGGAAAGGTGACGAAGTGCTGAACGACGGCACCCAAAGCAGCCATCATAGCCTCGGTTGGTGGAGCAACGTATCATGTAATATGGCATCTTGATGGCAACTTGTCACATGCTGGAGCAGGATTGAACTCTACGCTCTCATACGCACCGCAGTGAGTCACACTGGTGGCTGTACCTCATTTTTCCCATTAATTTTCTTCTGAAGGGAAGCCTCTAAACGTTCAAAGAGGGTATCGACAAACAGGGTCACTTGTTTATAGAGTAGGTCTCAAGTGCTAAGACCCTCTTTTCAATGACAGCAGATGAAGTACATCGAGAAGAAGACAAACTGTACACAGGGAGAGGCTTAGGAGTTTACAGTTTGATACCACCTGCGCAACTACCGTAACTGATGCATTGAGTTGAAGGATAAAAGTTGTCCGCCCAGATGCATCAAAACTTGAGGCCAGAGGATGCAAAGAAACCTAGTTAGAGGTTGGGACTGGAAGGAGCAAGCAACGCACTTGTTTCTAGTTGCAGCCAACGAAAGTGAAAACTGAGTGGGTGTTTGACCAACGCACGCGGGCTCTCACCAATGCAAATTGGTGCTTGTCAGCACGAGGTAGTTCCTGGCCGCTGGTGAAATTGTCCAGATTCAGTGATGCATTTTCAGTATCGGAGGCGGGACCTTTAGGGACATTTACCCGTCTTTTGTTTCAAATGTGTTCTGCTTTGTGTATTGAGTCCAAACCAAGCAATACAGTACCTGGCCATTGCATGCATGCCATTGTAAGAATTGCAGAAACTCCAAAAGTTGTATTGCTGTGACCTGCAAGTGTGCAGTATTGTCGAGCTGGGCAAAACTATCAATCTATACGCATTCGCTGGAAATCCACCGATCAAATGGCTTAATCATCAAGGTGATAGAGTTAGACTGCCTTACAGTGTGTATAAATATATATTATATGATGTCATCTTCGCTCTCCAGCCTGCATCTTTTTGGCCAGAGAGC